TCAAAATACTTGTCATTCTTATGTATTATATAATCATATAATATATTCAAATGTACATGCAAATTAAAGGGATTTCAAATATATTGAAATATTCACTAATTGAAGTATCATACCAATTGTTTTCATTAAAAAAAATTATGTCGACGTGTCTTCGAAGTGAAAACAAACAAGTTTTAAATAGTTTAATGCTTTAGTAGAAAAGAACAATGAAATACAAATCTTACTCAAATCATTTTACTCGTTCTTTATTTCTTCTAATATAGAGGTTATGGCTTAAATATAATCATTTTGCTCATTTATACTTGTAATAATGCATGGACATCGACAACAACGACTCAAAATTTTGATTTGATTTGAATTTAAAAATAAATTCAAATCAAAATCAAAATTTAAAAATGAAAAGTTAAATTAAATTTGATTGCTATTAATTCCTAAATAATAAAATTAATGTAATTAGCACTGAAACACATTTAAGAGCTTATGATGACATTTCTTAAGTCACCATTGTTACAGCATTGAGAATAGCTTAAAACAGAAATTTACTCAATTATCTAAAACCAAATGGCTTTAGATTTGTTCGATACTTATATAAGATTTATATATTTCAATTTTTAGTAGCAATTGTTTATTACACATAAAGATGCTTGTTGATCAAAGCAAAATATTTAATTAACATATAGTTAACATTAATGTTCATTCCACATATCAGGACACTCATTAAGTAATTACGATACGAAAGGTTTTGTGTTTTCAAAGGTTTATCGTTTTAACAATAAACTGTAACATAAAATAAACGATTTACTTGTTATTTATGAATACCAGTGAAATTCAATTTCATGAAAACTCAGATTTTTATTTACAACAAAATTTCTAAAGTTTTTAAGGCTAATTATTTAATAATACACGATAAATTAAAGTTTAACCTACCACAGACGTAAACCGTGACAGTTGAAAAGATAGAAACGTAATTACAAGAACGAAACTTATCAAANCTTAAAACATAAATTTACTCAATTATCTAAAACCAAATGGCTTTAGATAAAGATTTGTTCGATACTTATATAAGATTTATATACAGTATTTCAATTTTTAGTAGCAATTGTTTATTACACATACAGGTGCTTGTTGATCAAAGTAAAATATATAATTAACATATAGTTAACATTAATGTTTATTCCACATATCAAAACCCTTATTAAGTAACTACTATGGGAAAGGTTTTGTTTTTTTAAAGGTTTATGGTTTTAACAATAAACTGTAACACAAATTAAACGATATACTTATTATTTATGAATACCAGTGAAATTCAATTTCATGAAAACTTAGATTTTTATCGCCCAGA